AGTTGTCTTGCTTTCAGTCATTTCAGTGCTTTTCTATTAGCATAGAGATCAGAGGGACCCTGGAGAGGATCTTGTTAGGGGCCGTAATGAGAGAAAAGATGAAAAGGGAGAAGGAAATGGAAGTACCTACACCACCCAGGGGAAAACAAGACAATGAACGCGTGATCATGTATTACACCATCAAGAGGAGAGGAGAGGAAAATTCCATGCAGAGCCTAAGAGAAAGAGAAAGATACAGAAATCCAGAGTTTGCACTTCTGGGGGAGGAAGGCATATTAACTAAAAATTGGTTAAGATAGTTGTTCATATATTCCCCCAATGACTTTCTAAATTAACATAAAAACTGGATTATCATAATCTTTTTGCCTATATGAAAAGCATATAAGTTAAACATAACAAAACTAAGTTTTTAGAAGTGTGACTAATTAAGGTAGTTAATGCCTTTTAAACACTAAATCTGTCTTACTAACGTTTTGTGAAATGCTTGTTCTTGGATTTTATATACGCCTACCATCTTTAGAAAGAAGTGATCTTCCTTGTCATGATTCCAAATTGTTTCTCAAGACAAGGCTTAATTACACTGTTAACATTCTTAACACTTTTTTTGTTTCTTTAAGTCATATAAGTGTTCATCTGGGACTAGGGAAATTCAAAGATCTCACCCACTTTTTATAATTATACACTAAGTAAGCAAATGGAAATTTAAAAGGAAGAAAGCACCTACCACACTAATTTTTGAAAATAATTAAAATTATTGAACATTCTTTCTGTTCCAGTGGACTGATGTGAAGAATAGGGAAAAGTTACAAATTATAGCTACTTAAGGAATTGAAATCAAATTATTGTACTGCTTTTATTGTGTCATAAGCACATTAATAACTTAGAAAGCAGCACAGATAAAAGAGGAACACACCGTTTCCTGCCCTCCCACCCACATGATTTTAAGCTTCTGACTGGTAGCTAAAAATGCAGGTTTCATTATATATGTACCTATGCCAATGATTGTTTTTTTTTATTTTTTTTATTTTTTTTATTTTTAATTTTAATTTTTTTATTAAATCTTTATTGTTCAGATTCCTCATCCATAGGTGCACGATTTTTGTCCAGTTTCTTCCCGCATCTCCCATTCCCCTTTCCCCCCCAAGAATAGTCAGTCCATTCCCTTTCTATGTCCCTGATTCATTATAATCACCAGTTCATTCTGTACATCAGATTATTTATTCACTTGGTTCTTAGATTCACTTGTTGATAGATGCATGTTTGTTGTTCACAATTTGTATCTTTACCTTTTTCTTCTTCCTCTTCTTAAAGGATACCTTTCAGCATTTCGTATAATACTGGTTTAGTGGTGATGAACTCCTTTAGCTTTTCCTTATCTGTGAAGCTCTTTATCTGACCTTCAATTCTGAATGATAGCTTTGCTGGATAAAGTATTCTTGGTTGTAGGTTCTTGGTATTCAGCACTTTGAATATTTCTTGCCATTCCCTTCTGGCCTGCAAAGTTTCTGTTGAGAAATCAGCTGACAGTCGTATGGGTATTCCCTTGTAGGTAATTGAGTCTCTTTCTCTTGCTGCTTTTAAGATTCTCTCTTTGTCTTTTGCTCTTGGCATTTTAATTATGATGTGTCTTGGTGTGGTCCTCTTTGGATTCCTTTTGTTTGGGGTTCTCTGCGCTTCTTGGACCTGTAAGTCCATTTCTTTCACCAGGTGGGGGAAGTTTTCTGCCATTATTTCTTCAAATAGGTTTTCAATATCTTGCTGTCTCTCATCTTCTGGCACCCCTATTATTCTGATGTTGGTACGCTTGAAGCTGTCCCAGAGGCTCCTTACACTATCTTCGTATTTTCGGATTCTTTTTTCATTTTGCTTTTCCGGTTGGGTGTTTTTTGCTTCTTCGCATTTCAAATCTTTGGCTTGATTCTTGCGCTCCTCTGGTCTGCTATTGGGTGTAATATTCTTTATTTCAGAGCGTGTATGCTTAATTTCTAGTTTCTTTATCATAGCATCGAGGGTCTCATTAGTTTTCGTGAGGCTCTCCAGAAGTTTATTGCAAGCCCTCAAAATTGCGTTTTTTAGCTCTATATCCTCCATTTCTGTCATGTTTTTTTGTCTCCGCATTTTTTATGCTTTCTTGGTGCACCCCCTAGTGGTCTTTGTGCGCAGTCTTGTTCTAGTTGAGCCTTGATTGTTGTAGTTAATACTAGAGGGATTTGACCACCAGGCCGACTGGCTGTGTGAATCAGCTGTGTCTGCCGCGGAAAACTTCTGTCCTCTGGGGAGGTGCTAATCTAGCCTTTGCCTGAGGCGATCCGGCAAATGGCTCTGCGCAGGGCTTGGGCGGGGCGGGCTCAACAGGGCGGGCGGAGGGAGCCGTTATGGTGCCCTCAGTCCTGTTCCCAGAGGCTCTGCTTCTCAGAACCCCCGGAACCGCTGCAAACCTCGGAGGGAAAGCTGCCTTCCAACTGATGCCAGACACTCCCGCTTCTCCCGTTTGGGTCCGAGTCCCCAGCGATTCGCCCGTATCTGGAGCTCAGAGTCTGAGACTCCCCCCTGACCGAAAACGACAACCGCGCTCTCAGCCACCAGCCCGCTTTGCGCGCGCACCTCCGCACCTGAGTTTTTTCCACACTGCGCCTCCTCTGAGCCTCGGTGTGCTGTTATTTTTCCTTCTAGTTGAAGAGTTTCTCCTCAGCCAGCCTTCCTGTGGTTCTGGGTGATGTCCGTTCCGTCTTTTAGTTGTATTTTTGAAGTGGTTGTTTGCGGCAGCAATCTCCGGTGTTTACCTATGTCGCCATCTTGGTCTCTCCTATGCCAATGATTGTTATGTTGGGGGTGGACACTCTTTAAGTAACTAATTTTCACAACCATCTAGCCTAGTTATTATGGACCAAGAAATAGAAGAATCAGGAGATAAAGCTCCAACGATTACCAAGAAAATCAATGGCAGAATTTAGAACTGTCTTCATAATCAGGGAGTCTACAGGCCTAGGCTCCAACCCCAGTTTTGACACTTACCTACCAGTTGTTTGATTCTGAGGCAGTTAACTTTTTGGAACCTCAGTTTCTTTTTAAAAATTTATTTATTGATTTTTAGAGAAGGAGAGAAAGGGAGAGGGATAGAAATACCAATGAGAAACCTCATCGATCTGCTGCTTTCTGCACGCCCCCTATTGAGGATGGAGCCTGCAACCTGGGCATGTGCCTTGACCGGGAATCAAACTGTGACCTCTTGGTTGATGCTCAACCACTGAGCCACACCAGCTGAGCTGAACCTCTAAAATGGGTTGTTAGGTTGTTATATAGGGTAGTGATTAGTAGTTGAAATAATAAAAATTCTAGTTCCATCCTATTTCATGTGTGTTTGTCATATCATTGTTAATAAAAGTGGTTCATTCCTATTAAACAAGCCCTTGCTTGTACCTACCACTGGATCAGGCTCTGCAGGGTGGTCCTGGGTGGGCTTCGGAATCCTGTCGATTACGCCAAATAAATGTTGATGTAAGAAAAATTCAAACCTGTGGAGAATTTTTATGAGTTTATTTGAACCAAACCGATGACATATGCCAGGGAGCAAGATCTCAAATGATCCCTGGCTTTTGTTTTTAGGTTGATAATTAACCTCAAATTAGATAATTTTGGCTGAAGTGGGGAGCATGGATATTGAGAGGGGAGAAGAGAGAAGACTAGGAGAAGGCCCAACAGAGATGATGAGCACTTAAACTAGAACAATGGTATTAGGGATAGATACAAGAGGATGTCTTTGAGAAATATTTAGGAGCTATTTTCAGCAGGATTTAGTGGTTGATTAGAGGGGCTATGGATGGGTGGGTTAAAAGAAGTCAAGGGTGAATTATTTTTGGTTTAGGGTTGGATGGTAGGGACAGCAACTGACATAGGAAATATAGGAATGTTGGGTATGTTGATTTAGAGATTCCATGTTCAATCCAAGTGGCTATATCTAGGAGGAAATTAATATGTGCTAATTAATATAAATTTGGTATTTATCAACATACATTTTACTTTTACATTCTGGAGGTTTGGGAAATAGGCTCAGGTTAAGTAAACTTGGTATAGAATATGTCGTAAAAATTGGAATTAGAATTTATTAACTTATACTGAGGAACAATGAGGAATGAGAGTTACATGTAATTACATTTAATTAAATTACATTTAATGTAATCAGGTAGGGTTTAAGCTTGTCATTTTGCTATTGGTTTCTATATGTCTTATGTCTTTATTGTTCCTTTATTCCTTCATTTATTGCTTTTTTGCATTAACTAGGTATTATATATGAATATACATAATCTATATTTATAGTAAGCATGCATTTGTAAGTGTACATAAAAAACAGAAGGATACATATAGAGAGGGCTACAAGATTTTAAAAGATATTATTTTGTTATTCATGGGATTATATTAATCATAACATTTAAAAAAAAACCACTATTTCCCACAATTGCTAAAGTTAAATCCAAATGTATGTATGTAAAGACATAGATAATATTTTTCTCTAATGACTTTGTAGACCCATGCTTCCATAACTTCCATCTCTTTACCATGACTGCCCTTCATCCTTCCCCAAAATTCAGCTTGCTTTTCTTTTTTTTAATTAAAAAAAAATGAAGTGTCACTAGGAACCTTGGTGGCATGTGAGCATAACCAAAAAGTATTTATTAGGTGTCACTTGTACACACAATTTCCAAGAATGCAAAGCTCGATATAGAAAACCCAGACTCTACCAGTGCTTTACAACTAGATTGATGTCTTTAACTGTAAGACTGTCCAAAATTTCAAAATTCAATGTATAAACATGCAATAGAGTTCGATAGCCCTTGTGTCCCACAGCTGGAAGAATAAGTAGTTGACCTTTAAGTAGTTTTCCACTTCTTGGCAGATGGCCGTTCAAATACATCTCGTACCCCAGCTGCCTTTTGTTTGCTGGCATTCTATCATGGAGAAACACTGACAAAAATATTTCTCTTCCTTGCTTTTATTGTAACAGCCACATTCCAATGATGGAAACTTACCCAGTTGCAGGGACCTTAAAGAAAGCTAGAATGGAACCCCAAGTAGGTATTGAGCCTCAGAACCATTCTAGGAACCTGTGTCATTAGCAGTATTAAATTCTAGGATCATTACTCACGCTTCTCGATCTTCTCTGTCCCTCTTGATTCTCTTTAGTTCCCGAACTTTCCATGCCTCATATTCCTCCTCATCATTTTCATCGTCAGTATTCAGTGCATCCAGTGCAGCCAGGGATCGCTTGTTTTCCTCCAGCTCTTTCTTGGTCTCCTCTTCTACAATCTGGATAGGGAGAAAAATTCAACTGTCAGACTTCCTTATTCTTCTCAGACAAACCTACGTACAATACTCCTTGCACTCAATCCTCACAGCCACTCCCAGTACCTTGAGTGTATACTTGCGCCTCTCCTCGGCCCTGCGTTTAGCCTCCTGCTCCAGCTCCTTCTGTTTCAATGCTTCAGCCTCACGTTCTTGAACTGTTACTCGGTCCTTCTTTCGAATGAAGACGGGCTTAAGGCGAGGCTCCATCTCATCTTCACTGTCTGTGTACTCTTCATACTCGGACTCTGATTCTGACTCCTCCCCAGAACGCCCCTCATCTTCCACTTCCATGACTTCCATCTCTTCATTTTGTCTCTCCTGTGCTCGTTGACGCATCATGCCACGGCGCCACTCTATTTCCTCATCATCAATTTCTTGCTCTTCTTCCTCACTGCTATCTTCTCGCTCCATGCGCCAAACATCTCCTTCTACTTCTGAGTCACTTTCTCCTACGACTCCAGGTTCCACTATTTTCCGATGTCGAGCCAATCTCTCTTCCACATCTTCACTAATACGGTTCTGCAAACGCCGTAGTCGGGGGTCGCTAGATGAATCCTCCTCCTGTTCCTCAGGCTCTGCTTCTTGTTCTTTGGCTTTCTTAATGAACTGAAATTCTTCATCCTCCTCATCTGAGGACTCCATAGGGGCATAGTCTGGCCTCTTTCCCGACACATAACATTTCACCTTCACTTTCTCCATCAAAATCTCACCTTTCTCATTGCGGACCGGGACAGCCCCAGCCGTGGACTGAATGGGCGGCTGTTTCATGAGTGCGCTGGGGGCCGACATGTTCATGGCAGCGGCAGGACTCCGGGCACTTCCCTGATTCCAAGTAGTAAACAGCTATCAACGGTAGAGCATGAGACTCTTAATCTCAGGGTCATGGGTTCGTGCCCCACGTTGGGTGCCAATTGTTGGGGTCCAACCCCAGCAGGTCCAGGGGTTCCCAAAGGTGTGGACGGATCCAGCGAAGAAGGAATGACACGGAGACAGTGTTCAGTTGATCAGCAGTCTAGCCAGGTTCTAGCCAGGATCTCCAGCCA